GCTGCAAACCTCGGAGAGAAAGCTGCCTTCGAGTTCCGACCGAAGCCAGACAGTCCCGCTTCTCCCGTTTGAGTCTGGGTCCCTAGAGACTCGCCCGGATCTGGAGCTCAGAGTCTGAGACTCCCTCCCGATTGAAAACAACAACCGTGCCCTCCGCCACCAGCCCGCTCCACATGCACTCCGCACCTTAGTATTTCACTTCAGCACTGCACCTCCTCTGAGTCTCGATATGCTATTCTCTTTCCTCCTAGTTGTAGAACTTCCACTCAGCCAGCCTTCCTGTGGTTCTGGATGCTGTCCGTTCCATCTTTTAGTTGTGTTTTTGAAGTGGTTGTTCGAGGCAGCAAACTCCGTCGTTAACCTATGCCGCCATCTTGGTTCCTCCCAGAACTATCTCTTAAAGCTGATTACTAAAAAGGCAAATGTATTTTCCCTTTACATTTTTAAAATTTATTACATTATATCAAAGTTCTTATGATACATAAGGGGGTTCTTTAACATTAAAAAGTTCACGTAAATATGCATAATGCTAAACTGGCCAGTGCTTTCATTAACATTGGTATTTCTACTCAGTGGTGTGTGGTAAATATTGAACAACTGGCTCTGAAAAAAGGAAGGGAGGGAGGGAAGGAGGAAGGAAAGAAAGAATGAAAGACAAGGAAAGGGAAAGGCAAAGACAAAAAAAAGAAAAGTAGATGGTAGCATTTGCAGATTTCTGTGGTGTAAATACTTTCACCTTGGCTAATTCAAGCTACCAACATGAATGTCACTGAACATGGAGTTGAGAAGAGATGTGACAATTAGCCGCAACTGGCTGTTTTTTGTTTGTTTTTATTTTGTTTTGTTTTTTGGCTGTTGTTTAATAGGCAATTGGGCTATCTCTATAGGTCTGTATTTTGGTTATTTTTGTGGAAAAATTATTCAGAATATAGAAGTTATTTTTAAATTGCATTATATTTTCTGGCACAGTTATGAAAATGCTTATTTTTCTTTAGATAAATTTGTTGTGCACAAAAATATGTGACCCCCTGTAGCATATTACCAGCTGTATGTTTTAAAGGAAAGTCTGACATTGGTGATGGTGATTGGAAATTTCTATGTGGCTCTATAGTAATCTGAACTTGTATAGCGTTAAGGGAAGTTTTCTCTTTTCATTTCAGGCATTTTTGTTGCCTTCCTGTGACATAGCTGTAACAAGAAAAGTAGTCCAAGTGTACAGAAAGTGGATCCTCCAGGACAAACCTCTGTTCATGGAGGAACCAGATCAAAAGGAAGTTACCCAAGAAGATGCTGAAAAATTAGGATTTTCTGAGACTGACAGCAAGGAGGTAATATTTTATCACTTGTTTCATTTGGGAGTATATATAGTTTAGTAAAGTACACCTGGCTCAGTCAGAGATCCCAGGCAGGCGGGTCTCTTTTTTTTATCATTTCTGATACTCTCAAGTTGCTGAGTTCTCTGAGGACCTGCTTCAGTGAGGCTGCCTTAATCAGCTATCTCCTAACCCTCACACTAGGTCCACTTGTGCATTGCAGCTTCATTATCCAACATTGCACAAGAGTTGTTTAATCAGCTATCATATTTTACACATCTCTGTATGAGCCTAAAAATGTCACTGCCTTATCATTGACATGTTTAAATAAATAGCATTCTCAGAAAGTGGGTGCTCTCAGCATGGACTTCTTAGTCTGTGTTTGATAAAGCTACAGGCTGGATTAATGTAAAACCACAGAGTGGGACCTCTTCCTGAACCACAAAAGAAACTTAAGTCGTATTTATATTTCTGGCATGCTAATTTGAAACCTAGTCTGAGAAATTATTTCTAAAAGTAGATGTTTGTCATAGCAATTGACAGCAAATATTTAAAAATATTTGTAACCAAAGGCATATCACTTTTAAATATCTGTATTAATTACACTAGAGGCCCGGTGCAAGAAATGCGTGCATTGGGAGGGTTCCTAGGCCTGGCTGGCGATCAGGGTTGATTGGGGCCTTCCTTACCCCAGCTGCCAGCTGCAGGCCAGGGCCTTCCTTCGTTCTGAGCCGCCCCCTGGTGGTCAGTGCACGTCATAGTGAGCAATCGAACTCCCTGTTGGTCGAACTCCCAAGGGGACAATTTGCATATTAGCCTTTTATTATATAGGATTATATAGGATAATTTTGATTTTTCAAATATTCAGGTCAGAATTAATAGATGAGCAAATGGAATTAATCACATATTTTAAATTTAAAGGATAAGTGCTCATCTAGTCATTGGATGTTTGTTTTCTTTTTCAACACATAATAACTGACAGGCACTATTTTAGGTGCTGGAGACAGAGTGGTGAACAAAATGGCAACACACATACACACACACACACACACACACACACACACACACACACAAACCTTGCCTCCCAGAATCTATTTCCCGTGAATTCTGCTTAATGTAAGAATTAAATATTCAAACATGTACTTCTTCCCCCTCTGTTAACTAATTATTTTTTAAAGACTGCACCTGAAAGTTCCGGTCATAAGCGGTCTTCCAGTTGGGGACGAACATATTCCTTCACGAGTGCGGTGAGCAGAGGGTGTGTGGCAGAAGAGGAGAACAAGAGCGTGAAAGCCGGGGCCCAGGCTGTGCTGCAGGTACGCTGCCGGCTGGCCAGAGGCAGAAAGGCCCCCAACTGGAGTCAATGTGAACAGTTGTGTATTGAGACAGCATCCTATAAAGTTTGGTATTTTTAGCCTCTGTCAGTAAACAGCTCTTAAATTTTCATTCTAAGTTTTCTTCCTGATCTCTCACTTTCAATTTGTAAATAATTTTTTCTATTCAAAGGAAACATATGAACAAGTTTCACATTTTAAAGAGGGATTACTATACAGTAAATGTGAAATGACTGAGATTTATATCTTAAAAGTATCTTTGGGACACATATGGGTAATTAGTTACCTGGACTCTAGTTTGCAAGATAAGTGTGGTTGATTATATAATCATCAGTAATACTCCTCTTCTTAAAAATTGTCTGTGTTTATGAAGAATGATGAATTATGCAATAATTTTAATAGTTATCTGAATGGATTTATGAAATAGAACTGATACCATTTAGAACATTGGAAAGAACAACTTTGGCTCATTACTTAATTTCCCCAGACCTCAAGATTTTATCTCAGAAATAGGGATTGAGAAATTACCTCTTGATCCCATCCAGCTTGAGTGTTGTTAGGAGTATAAGTGAAAACACAGACTGCCACCCCTTCCTCTGCCCCCTGGCACTTCACCCTCCATCCCCTACGCACGTTTATAGCTGCATCCAGTTAGGCCTCCCACACCGAGCACAGGCGTGGCGTTTGGGAATGCCATGGGCAGGGCCTTCGTGTTAACCAGTTTTCAATGACACTTATTGTTGTCCTCTGTCTCTTGATAGGATTTCTTATCATGGAATCCTTTTTGTTTTCAAGCTAATTAGCAGTTTAATACCTTATCACTAATGAATTTTCTCATTTTTCATTGAAAATCAGCAAATTATTTGAAATTAAATTTTAAAAAATCAAGATGATTTCACTTTAGTAGCTTCAAAGAACTTTGGTACAGCTCATAAATATAACCCGTGTCCTCACCGAAGAAATGGGTGCGGGAGTCCCTGCTCTGAGTCCCTTGGTGGCCCCTTCCTCCTGGTGGGTACCAGATTGCCATCGTCAGCCATCCGAGTGTCGGCCGGGTTGCAGGTGCCAGTTACCTTCTTGGGTTCAGAAGAGTCTTACTTGTTTTCTGAAAGGCTAAGTTACATCTACTTGGCTGAACCAAGAAAATAATTTTCTACTGGCTTATAGCACTATAGATTTCTTAAAAAGTTTAGTTTGGATTTAAATGGCTGTTTTTATTCTCATTGTATCCAGTACTCTGGCCCTCTGCTTGGTTCATTGGGGAAAAAAAGTGGCCAAATGGAGGTTTGATAAGATAGTACTCCTCTGTAGTTGCTTTTGGTAGTTACAATATGGGCATAATTTTTATTTTTACCTTACCAGAAACTAACATGGTCATAAAGAAATATTCTTGTAGTTGGCATTTTGATATTTTTTTTTAAAGTAAAATGAAACAAGTATAATACTGGGTGGGGCAAGGGTAGATTTGCAGTTGCTTGTATGGAAAATAGTAACAATAATTAATAAATAATGCAAGAATAAACTTTGCATTTCATGTACTCACAACTGTAAACCTGCTTTTGCCCCATATATGAAGACCTTTGCATTTTTACTTGGGAATATGCAAAAGTTTCAAATTCAAATCAAGAAGCCAATACATTGAATGAAAAGGATCTGGATTAAAACATATTACCTAGGGTATACTTCTTTTCAAAACAGTCACTAAAACTTCTTTAGTTTGTGAGTCAAAAAGTTCTTTGGTTTCTTTTTTCTTACTTGAAGGCTAGTAAATTCTTTCTCGTTACTGTTACCTATTATCAACTATTATAGTGCTCATTTAATAATTCTTCCTAGAAAATGGTGTCATCACACCTTTTAAATATTGCAAAAGATAATTTTTGAGACTGTCAACATTTTAGTTCATACACTTGAACTAAAGTATGTTTGAAGTATGTTCATTTCTCAGATCAGTTTTTGCATCTGTTTTAAGATGTTGTGTTAATGGATTTCATCCATGGGTGAGCCAGAGAAGTTCCATTTATTCCCAGATCCTTTGAATTTGTACTGTTGAACACAGAAGAAACCTAGTATGGAATATAGCTCTAGATATATGGAGCAGATCCATCCTCATTACTGGATTGACAACTCAGAATTTCCTAAATTGAGGTTTTGCTAGTGTCATCTGTCTAAATAGTAGCTCATTGTTATTTTATTGTAGTGCCCCTAAGCATAAACTTACTGCATGATAACCTTGGTTAGTGCTTCTCCTAATTTCTGCTGAAATACCCCTAATGGTAGAGGACAGTAAACTTGTATCCTAAAGTTCTGAGGTAGAGCATAGAATGGTTGGATGAGTATTTTCAAAATTTGCTTTTATCTTAAGAACTAGAGGCCTAGTGCACGAATTTGTGCACCAGCTGAGTATCTAAATTTTTTTCAAAAATTTCTTTTATCTTAAGAACTAGAGGCACAGTGCACGAATTTGTGCACCAGTGGTGTCCCTTGGCCTGGCCTGCGGGATCGGGCCGAAACCGGCTGCGGGATCAGGCCAAAACCGACTTTCTGACATCCCCCGAAGGGTCCCGGATTATGAGAGGGTGCAGGCCAGGCCAAGGGACTCCACTGGTGCACAATCAGGGCTGGGGAGGGACGTGGGAGGGACCGAGAGAGGGCTCCAGGGCATGTCTGGCTCATCTCGATCAGCCGGACCCCAGCAGCAAGCTAACCTACCAGTCGGAGCATCTGCTCCCCGGTGGTCAGTGCACGTGTTAGCGGCCTTAGCATATCATTAGCATATTATGCTTTGATTGGTTGAACGGACAACTGGACACTTAGCATATTAGGCTTTTATTATATAGGATTCACTTAGGTTTTATATTTTACTGCACAGTATAGTTCTTACCTTAAAAATATATGCTCCTGAAATATGTGCAATGTCGATCATGTGGCCTTGGCTGTGTCCTGGCATGCCACAGCTCCTAGAGGCCCACCCTTGTGTGGTGCTGGCTGTGCTTTCTGTCAGCAAGTTGTTCATTTCTGGGAGATTCAACAATAACCAGATAGTTTTTTCCAGCCACTTTCTGACCACAGTGTCTCTTCCTCTCCCCAACATTTCTTGCCCAGAGGCAGTGATATTATCCTATCTTATCTTTTTTTGGGGGGAGGGGATATAAAAAAAAGTTTTAAAAAGTTTTTCTGATTCATAAAATTTCTAAAGTCACAACAGTAATATGTAATAGTAATTTTTTTCTAGGAATGGTCTTTCAGGTTTCTCAGTATTTGAGTGATTCTAGGAGAGGAATGAAAAAAAGGCCTGAGTATATGTTGGCACTGTATTTTTGCCTTAATTGAAATAACTCAAAAGTGATTCATTGGTAAAGTAAAATTGGTAATATTATCTTTAGGCAAAATTTGTTCATATTTATATGTTTAATATTTTCTAAAGTAAAATTTGTCTATTTTTTAAGGTGTTTTTGACAAATGCTGCAAATGTCTTTTTGCTGGAACCATGTGCTGAAGTCCCCATACTCTTGAAAGAACAAGTTGATGCTTGTAAAGCTGTTTTGATTATTTTTAGGCGTATGATAATGGAGCTTTCAATGAATAAAAAGACATGGTAAGTTTATTTCAAATTAATTAGTATTATAAAACAGATGATTCCATTTTACAACATAATAAATAAAATGTTACAGCCTTCATTTATTATTGGCTTTACAAAGTTAACAATAAGATGATAATCAGTCTTTTGTAACAGTTTCTGTGAATTTTGAAGAAGGTAAATATTCAGTACTTTGATAATTCATTTATTGTAATTATTGGTTTTAAAAATGTTCTTGAATTAAGAGTAAGTGGTCAAATTGCTTTAATGAGAACAGTTTTGTGAAAAAGCAGTATAACTGGAGTGTTATAGTATCATTCCTCATAAGCCCAGGACAGTTTGTTAATTGCTCCAAAATGCTGTTAACTCACTTTTATTGCTTCAAACTTGAAGTTTTAAATTCATTTGGAAAAACAATTATTTTAAACTAGAGGCCCAGTGCACGAAATAGATAGGGTCCCTAGGCCTGGCTGGGGATCAGGGCTGATCAGGGCCTTCCTTCCTTCCTGGGGAGAGGAAGAGACACTGTGGTTAGAAAGTGGCTTCCTTCCTCCCAGCTGCTGGCTATCTGCCAGGGCCTTCCTTCATTTCGTGCTTACCCCTGGTGGTCAGTACACATCATAGCGAGCGGTCAAACTCCCTGTTGGTCGAACTTCCGAGGGGACAATTTGCATATTAGCTTTTTATTATATAGGATTGTTATATAGGATGATAAATTGTCAGAGTGACTGAAAAAATAGTGCAGCCAATATGCTTATGCGAAGTGTTTTCATTTTCACCCTTGGTTTTTGTTTGGTGTTTTTTTTGTTTATGCTATCCCTAAAGGTTAACAGTGCATTAGGTCTTTTCCTGTGCTCTTCTCCCACAATGGACATCTTCATAGCACTTCAGCTTCTGAGGTGTTCTTACAGGTTCTTGGCCACAGACCAGAGCACCTCAGTGCCACTTCCTAATCCTTCTCTTCCTTAATGCATCGGAAAGACAGTCTCTCAGTTCAGTCCATCCTTTCCATGTTCCTCTCCCCCAGCCCTGAAGCAGACAGCCTGCCCTTACTGCTCACCTGGCTGTGGTCTCAGTCCACCGAGGCCACTGCAGACCCCACTAGTGGCACACTTCCTTCCTGGAAATCCTGGGGGTCTGTGTTACCAGGCCTGTGTGCTGGATGCCTTTTCCGGACATCCTCAAGTCAGCACAAAGGGTCCTTTGGAAGGATCTGTCTGCAGGTTGTGAAGCCATAGAAATGAGGCAGGACTGAGCTGGCAGGGGCCCTATGGCCATTGAGTCCAGCTCTTTTCTTTCTCAGAGGAGGAAAGGGTGGGCCTGGAGGAATTCTGTTCCGCAGAAAGTTCACTAATACAGAAACTGCAAGTATCAAAATGATTATCTTAAGATGTAAATTACACTGTCATTTTCCCAGACTTTTAAACTTAACACTGTTTGCCAAGAAGCAGTTGTTAAAACTGTAAATTTTAGAGTGATGAATAATATGATTTAAAAAAGTTACTGTGTCAGCCATATTGAAAGTTATGAGAAATACTGGTATGCTTTTAACTCCAATATCCACTCCTTGATACCACAGTTATAGCAATTGTATTTTTATGTATTTTTCTTTGAAAATTCTGTGAATTCAGTACATTACTGTACAGTAGTATTTTTTAATTTTTGATAATTTTTTAAATGAAAATTTTAGGAAATCAAATTAAGCAATTATAATAATTCAGAAAAACCCAGATAAAAGTATAAAAAAAAAAAACTATAGAAATAGATAAAAATACCAAAAAATAGTAGAGTATAGAAAGGGATGTGCCCTTTTTCTTAGCAGATTTCTTACGTATTTTAGAACCAGACAATTCCTAAATTCCTTTCCTTCTCTTCCTCTCCCCGCTCCCATCTCTTCCTCTATCCAATAAGGAACAGCTAGCTTCTGCTTGAGGGTATTAGGTAAACTAGACAGATAATTACCTGCCCTTGGGAGTTTTCCACCCTCACAGACTGAGAGATATGAACACAGAAGCCATTTCAGTGGTAAAAAGCGCTAAAAAGAACAAGGAAGCTGTGCAGGGCAGGGGAGGTTTGTCATCAGATGTCAGGGAGGGCCTTCCCGAGCAGAGCCCTGAAGATGGAGAGGAGCCTGGGGGACGTCCGAGGGAAGAGCATTGCTGGTCGAAGGAACCACAAGTGCCAAGCACAGTCTGTTCCAGGCAGGAGGAGATGACAGCCAATGTGGTGGAGTGGACAGAGGGGAAGGGAGTGTGGGAGGGGGCGAGGCAGGGGCCAGCCACAGCCAGGCTGCTCGGGGCCTTGCAGACCACAGGAAGGCCACTGGCTTCCTCTCTGTGTGTGAGCAGCAGTGTGACACAAGTCTGATTTATGCTTCCAAAAGATCCCTCTGACCTCCATGTGAGAAGAGGCAGTTGCAATGGATGCGACACAAAGACTGTGGCCATAGATGATGGCGGCTGTTTATGCTGGGGCTGTAGCCTGAGAAGTTTAATGAGATTCAGTGTCATGTTAAAAGAATATACTATCCCAATATGCAGAAATATGAGAACAGTATAAAGGCACTATGGTTTAGAGATTGCATTGTCTGACCTATACTACATGGCGTTGTTCAGCTCTTGATTTTATCCCTAAAGAGCAAGATAAACAAATGGGTAGTGTGTAGGATCTCAAAGGAGAAGTTAAAAGGAACTGAGGTGGTTTCCCTCAGAGAACAAAAATAGACAGCCCTTACACACAGAAGGTAATGTGTTCTCAGATTCCAGGGAATTCGGGATAAAAGGTGAGCAGGCACTCTGATGGGAAGAATGTTAACAGCTGTAACAGTAAGAAGGAAATATGCCCTTTGGCCTTATCACGGTTATAATTAGCAGTGTTAGTCTGTCTCTCTATTGCTTCATACTCTTCAAAGACCTTTTACATAGAAACCCCTTTCTGCAAGGTACACTGTGATGAGTTGTGACGATTGCCACTGCCTCAGTTGTGCGCTGGGCTACAGACAGGATCTTCCAGGCACAAAGCTCCTCAAAGTGGCCATCGGTGACCTTTCCAAACTTTCCTACCTTAAGAGTAGTGTGGAGTTCAGTTACACGATGCAGCTGATTGCTTATCCCTCAAGAATGAAGACCAGAAAGTCAGGTTTATTTCCTATCACAATGAGAGATAGGAAGACCTTACTGGTTAAATAAAATAATGGATGTGAAAATTAAAGGGTGCTGCATAAGTTCCAATAGGCACAGATACTCACTGAGCGCCCGCCTCAGTCGGAGAAACAATCTTGTCTCCCTTCTTGTAAGGGGAGAAAATCAGGCCAGGATGATACCTGTTTTATCCTGCCTATTAGTGTGGGCAAAGGAGGCATATCGTTAGAACTGCTGAAACATAAGGTAGCTTATTTGTACAGAAAATGGTATTCATTCCAATTTTTAATACTTTTGAGTAATACATATTTATCACTATTGCTAAATTCTTGAGAGAATTTCTCGTACCTATAAATTAAAATGCTTTGGAGATGTGATTAACACGAACTTTTATTTTGGGTGGCCCAGGGAACAGATGTTGCAAATACTGCTCAGGATAACAGAAGCTGTCATGCAGAAGCCAAAGGAAAAGCAAATAAAAGACTTGTTTGCCCAGAGCTTGGCAGGGTTACTGTTTAGGGTAAGTCTTTTTTATTAAAACACTTCAAATGCACGAATTGAATCAGATTTTAGAGCAAAGTAGTTTTAATCACTGAGAATTTTAAGAGTAAAATTAAACTAACTTTAAATTTCCAGAAATTTAATTAGAAATTTTCCTTAGTTTTATCATGAAGGTTGTAATCTATTCTTTACAATTAAGTTTAGACCTTCCTACCTCTTCACTATTTACGTTCTTTTTTTTATTTGCTTGAGTTTGGTAGAAATTAGGAAAATACCAAGAGCTGTTGGCTCTGGTGTAGGGCTGGGTAGATTTGAAGAGTTAAAGGATGAACAGAAGCATGGGAATGGGAATAAGGTCAGGGAGCAGTTCAGGCTAGAAATAAAAATGTGAGAGCCATTGGTGTGTTGGACCATGTGTTTGGAGCCACAGGACCGGATGGGATCAACTAGGGAGAAAATTTATATCATAGAAGGAAGAGGGCCAGCTCCATGATTGGTGATGGAGAGCAGCCAGCCAAAGCTGCTGAGAGAGAGTGGTTAGGGAGCTAGGAGAAACACTAGAGGAGCCCAGGTCTGGATGCCTGGAGGAAGAGTATTGGGTAAGAGGAGAATGGACAACTGACCATTGATTTTGATGATGTGTAGGTGGTTGAGAATGCTCCAGGAGAATGAGGCCCTCTTGGTGTGGGTGGAGGAGAAATTGAGAACTGGGCAGTGGAGCAGCAAGTATAGTCAAGGCTTTGCAGAAGTGCTTATGTGGAAGGGAGGAGGAAACGAGAGCTAGCTGGAAGGGGCAGCATGATTAGAAGGCAGGGTTTAAGGTCATTGGTAAAGTATGTTTGCTTGCCAGTGGGGATGGTCCAGTGAGAACAAGATAGTCTGGGGAAGAGGGTGGGGCACTGTAGAAGTGAAGTCCTGGATAAGGTGAGGACGGCTGGTTTGGCCTTAGGTGGGAGCAGAGAGCCAAGGAGATGTCTGTTTTTTGCATCTCACATGCTAAGAAGAGTCAAGAACATTTAATATCACCCCAAGGGAGAAAGATGAGAAGGCAGATGATAAACAACTGCCTGGAAAATGGAAGTTTTAAAGGTCCTGAGGGCGCTAGCCTATTGTAGCCTACTAGGAAGCACTAATATTTATGGGATGCATAGAATTTATGAAGCATTTCTGAAAGAAACAGTGTGACGGGAATAATGTGACATTCTACACAAAGGCATTAGTACAGTGGATGGGCCTGACTGAGTACTTTAATATGGGAAAGCATGTGGATTATCAGCTGGAAGGGGCAGTTACAGGGGAAGTTAACTTCTCTCCTCAGTTGATGTGAAGGTGATTTTGGAGGATATATATTAAGAGCATATCTAGAATACAGGTAAGGTATATAAGTGAAGATGATAAAAAGAGAAATTAGTCCTTCATACAAAACAAATTATTCCCATTGTAACATAAGAAAACCCAACTGTTCATATTAATTTTTAATAATTTAACATGATTGAATGACCTTGACTTGATGAAAAATGTATGAGGGGGCTACAGAAATAATTGGCATGTTCTAGTCACTTGCCTCCTGAGTAGTATAATCACTTGTACTCTGATTGCCTTGCCTAGTTATTGGATACATGAAGTGGTCTACATATCCTGCTGTGAGTGTTAGACTTTACTGTGCCCTTGCCTCAAGGGTGTACTAGACACTTGCTTTGACGCCCTCCTGGAAATACAGACACTCTGTTCACTTTGCTCTGACTTTCCTGGAGCGCCTGCCTGTCTGTCAGCACCTTCTTGATCTCTCAGTCCTGATGGGACTGGGGCTGCCAAGTGGCATGGACGGAAGCCAAGCGCAGGCTGGCGGGTGCTCAGACTCATTCATCACCAGTTGCCTGTCTGTGCGTGTGTGCATTGGAACTGAGTGTGAACTTGTCACTGAATTAAGCAAGACTATTGTGTTTTTTTATTTGGTTGGTTGGTTTTGGCTTGGGGGGAGAAAATCCCCCTCATTAATGGAGAAATCTTGTCAGGTCTTACTTGAGGATTAGTTTTGAGTCCACGATTATTAATGATTTTGTTGTTGTTATTATTGTTATTATTTTGGCAACAGTTAGGTGGATCAAGAAGAATTCTTAAATTATGAACTAAACATAAAATAGTAGTGAGAAGATGGGCTTTGGGGAGTTATATTCTGGGTTCTCATCCCAGCTCTGGCATTTCTGGCTGTGTGGCCTTGAGCAAATCACTTCACCTTTCTGAGTTCTCTTCCCTAATCTGTCACAATCAGAAAAGGATTCCTTCCTATCTTGCCAGGTTATCATAAGAATGAGAGCGAATTTATTTCGGATGTATGATTATTTACTGATTTCCCAAGTGCTTTTGTGAGATCCAAGGTGGGAGAAAATGTGAAAAGTCTGGACAGAGCTGCCAGGCAATCAAGTGGGCATCATCTTAGACCCATAGTAAAATTAAAATATGCCATCAAATTATTATTCACTTGGCCATGTAGTCTGTCTACAGTTGCCAGATACTTAATTTTTTAAAAATTTGAATAAGATTATTAAAAGGAACAGGAAATTTTAAGTTGCCATTTTCTAATTTTCTTTTAGTGTTTCTTACCCCCGCCCCCCCCATCCAGAGATAATTGCATTGGTCAATTTTCTTCAAATGATAGTTGAGTTTTACTTAGTTTTAAATATTTTCTAAATAATGGTGATTGTCATAAATGATGTTTTAACCTGTTGTCAGTGCTAACTCTGACCTTGTGCTTGAAGCTCTTAAAATATATCAGGAAATTTGGACTATGGTTCTTCTATTTATAGTGTGAGCCATTACTTTACAATTGTGTCGTCTAAGTGTGGGAGAAACGTGGAAAGTGGTTGGTTAGGAAATGTGTGTAAGAAAAAGAGTGATTTACGAGAGAAGGTGTTTTTTATACAGTTTATATGCCAAGGTATATTTGATGAAACATGAATTTCAGTGCTAAAGGAATCTTGCAAATGCTTTTTATTTTTAACAAGAAATATGACTCTAGAAAAACCAAATAAATTGCCCAGGTCACAAACCAAGATAGGGACAGAACCTAGAGACTGGGGCTCTCTTTCCCTTTTCCTGTTAGAAAAGGGTAACTTATTCCAAGGGTACCCTGCCTTCATGTCCAAAGGTGCTACTCAACACCCACTGACTATATTTTATGATTTTGCTCTGTGTGGCAGTGTTGTTAGTTGTGAATTATGATAATGATTCAACAGGTCTGTGTACACATTTGCAAGATTTGCTGAGATGAATTTTATAAGTTACTAGAGGACTGGTGCATAAATTCATGCATGGGTGGGGTCCCTCGGCCTGGTCAGCGATCAGGGCTGATTGGGGCTGTCTTGCCTAGTCCCCTTCAGGGCCGGTGGGCCAAGGGGAGGGACCGTGGGAGGTTGGCTGTGGGAGCACACTGACCACCAGGGGGCAGCTCCTGCATTGAGTGTCTTCCCCCTGGTGGTCAGTGCGTGTCATAGCGACTGGTCGACTGGTCATTTGGTCGACTGGTCATAATAGTTGCTTAGGTTTTTATCGATATAGATAGGAAGTCATTGTTCTGTTTTTTTTTTTTTATAATTAGTCAATTAAGTGAAGCCAATGCTAGATTCTTGATACAGGGCATCTTACCACTAAAACACTACAACATCTGCTTTTAAATCTGCAGCTAGTGCTGTAATCCAATGAGAGGCTGAGTCCTGGTAACATTGCCAGTCTACTTTCTCCTCTTACTCTACTTAACATTATATTTTGGATTTACTTTTTGTAATGTCCTCAAACTTCTTTTGAAAATAGAAATGTAAAAATGAATAAACAGAAGCTAACATTTTAGTCATAATAAAAATATATAATAAAATTATTTTAATTTTTTATTTTGCATTGTTCTTTTTTTTATTCTTACCCAAGGATGTGTTTTTTTTTAAATTGATTTTAGAGAGAGAGTGAAAGAGAGAGAGAGAGAGAAAACATTGATGTTAGAAACATCGATTGGTTGCCTCCCATAACTGCCATCACTGGGGATCGAACCTGCAACCCTTTTTGGTGTATGGGACAATGCTGCAACTAACTGAGCCACCCGGCCAGGGCTTTTGTATTGTTCTTAACTTAAAAAAAATTATTCATCTTAAAATCAGATTTTAAGTGAGTTTAAAACCTTGTTTTCAATATACTTAATTTAGTTCAACTTTAACACTTTTACCCCTTTAAAAAGTGTAGTAAACATGAACTGAAACATGAGAAATAGGTACATTGCATAAGGGTCACTTTAAATATGATTTTCAAGTGGTCAGGTCAGTCCTGTCTGATTATAGACAGTTTTCTGTTTCTCAAAATTTCCTATGTGCATGTTAAAGAAGAATTTCTCCTTTAATTAAAAAAGCAAATTTACCCCTATTCCATGCACAGCATAACTCCAGGTGACAGTGGGAGCCTATTTGTGTCTGGATTGGGCATAAATATTTTCAGGTTGGCACCTTAACAAGTACATTTAGTACATTTAACAGGTCAGGAAAGTTACACAGACTAGGCATAAGGTTTCCTCTACTAAAATTAGGAAAGCATCTGGGGCTTATCTGAGATGAATGTGGCACTTTCAAAAGAAATACATTTTGCTTTGAATTTTAAAGGATGTGGAATATTTTGGCAGAGGTTAGGAACTGGGTGATTTCAAGGAAATATCCAGAATATTATATAATAAAGAGGTAATATGCAAATTGACTGTCACACTCTCGCACAAGATGGCCACCCCCATGTGGGCCTGCAGGGGAGGGCAGTTGGGAGTGACCAGGCCTGCAGGGGAGGGCAGTTGGGAGTGACCAGGCCTGCAGGGGAGGGCAGTTGGGAGTGACCAGGCCTGCAGGGGAGGGCAGTTGGGAGTGACCAGGCCTGCAGGGGAGGGCAGTTGGGAGTGACCAGGCCTGCAGGGGAGGGCAGTTGGGAGCAACCAGGCCTGCAGGGGAGGGCAGTTTGGGGCAATTGGGCCGGCAGGGGAACAGTTAGGCATTGATCAGGCTGGCAGGGGAGTAGTTAGGGGGCGGTCAGGCTGGTAGGCAGAAGCGGTTGGGGGCAATCAGGCTTGCAGGCAGGCAAGCGGTTAGGAGCCAGCGGTCCCAGATTCTTAGAGGGATGTCTGATGGCTGGCAGTCAGACATCCCCTGAGGGGTCCCAGATTGGAGAGGGTGCAGGCTGGGATGAGGGACACCCCCCCCCAACCCCACCCCATGCATGAATTTCGTGCTCCGGGCCTCTAATATATGCATAATATCTTGTAGGGCTGCATATGTGACTAGTTGTAATGCTGTGTCAGACTAGAGGAGGGATTCCTAAGGGAAAGGGCAACAAGCTGATGGGGGAAATGCAGAGAACTCTGGGAACTGAAGTCCGTTGGCGGCCAGAGGTGGGACACTTTGGAGGAAGTGATGTCCAAGCTGTGACCTGAAGAATGAATGGGAGTTAAAGAGGCAAACAGGAGGAAGAGAGGGAAGGGAAAGTATGTGCAAAGGCTAGGAGCAGGAGATACCAGGTTGAGGAATTGGGATAATCTCAGTGGAAGAAATTGAATTCTTTTTATTCTTATGCTGTATTACAGGTGCCTGCTGAACATGCAGGTAGAACTATCCAGTAAGCAGATAGGTAGGTCAGGAAACTAGCAAAGAGGTCTGGGCCGAACATGGAGATTCAGAAGTCAACAGTACACAGATGATAACTAGAGCCATGAGAATGGAGACCAAAACCCAGGCAAAGGTGGAGTGGCATAGGAAGCGTAGGAGGGAGAAAGCCAGAGCAGTCAGGTGACTGGGAGATGAGCATGTGCAGATGGAGGGAGTGTGGCACATTCTTTCAAGAAATTTGTTTTTGAAAGGGCGACAAATGGGGCTGTAGCTAGAGAGGAAATCTTTGTTCAAGGGAACTTTTTTTCTTCTTCAATGAAGAGTTGGAGTATTTTATGCTGATGGAAGAACTGGGGAAGTAGGGTGGATTGGAGATAAAGGAGAGACAGGGTTAATACAAGCACAAAGACTCTGAGGAAGAGGTGCAGAGCAAAGGTGGAGACAAGTACAGAAGAGCAGGAGCTCCTCTTCGCTTAGAGCCGGCAGGTGAAGGAGAGGCATGGGTCGTGTGGGCACAGGTTTAGGGCATCTTGTTTAATGGGTTCTGTCTTCTCTGAAGTTCACCGTGAGTTCATCTGCTAAAAATCAGGAAAGAGTTGGTGAGCTTGGAGGTTTACATGTGGAAGAGTAGATTTGAAGTGGCCACTGCAGAGAATGATGGAAAGAGCTGACTCAGGAAATAGATTAGCTGTTGTACAGAGAACTTTGTTTTCTCCCCAGTGACGCAGGACCAGCCACTGTCCTGCATCACTGGAATGATTTTGAATCAGTAGGTTTGTTCATAATGGTAACTAACTTCCCAGTAGCTCAAATCCTGATTACAGTTGGTCAAATGAATTTTGAGAAATTAAAAGAAAAGCAAAATCCAAAAGCCATTTTTATTTTAAAATTCATTTTGTTAATAGTTATTTAAGATATTTTGTTAAAAATTGTACCTTTTCCAAATGAAGATAATAAATTCTCTCATTGGTTGGTTGGTTTTAGACACTCATTGTGGCCTGGATCCGAGCAAACCTCTGTGTGTACATTTCTCGAGAGCTCTGGGACGAATTTCTTGGTGTGCTGTCCTCCCTCACACAGTGGGAGGAGCTCATAAACGAGTGGGCCAACATCATGGACTCCTTGACAGCAGTGCTTGCAAGAACTGTTTATGGAGTGGAGATGACAAACCTACCTCTGGACAAATTAAGTGAACAAAAGGAAAAGAAACAACGAGGCAAAGGTATTTCCAGTCTTACAGGGTAACACCGTATGTCTGAGACATCAGGGAAGGAGTGTGTCTTTATACATCTAGGCAATTAATGCATGAAATTTCATGATAAACTGAACCAGCCACATAGACATTATCTTTAATGGTGGCAGTAGATTGTGTCTCATAGCATTTTGTCCCTTAATGAGGATGGTGCATTTATGAAGAGGCTGTGGAAAGAAGAAGGAAGACAAAGGGGAGTAGTAGTAAACACAGTAATGATGGCTAGTGCTTTGTGCATATTCCCTCTCTTCACTCTCATAATCCCCTATGAAGTAGATACTACTATCCCCACATCATGGACAAAGAAACTGAAGACCAGAGTCCAGTGATTGACTCATTCAAGTCACATAGCTAAGAAGTGGTAAAGCCAGAAATCAAAGCCAAGCCAGTCCAACTCAAAATGCCACACCAGATGGGAGTCATTTTGGCTTTGATGTGTTTTGGAGTAAAAACTGGCTTGATAACCTAGAGTCAGATCAAGGTGAAAAACATCAGTGGTGGTTTCTTTAAGCATGACAGTTTGGCAGTCCCTGTCTTTAGTCCCTCGATTAATTCACTTGCACTCCAACTTATTATGTAAAGATTTTGAGGCATCTCTTAGAAATACATGCAATGTAAAAGATAAAATATGTAAGGGCATTGGGGCAAAATGAATGGGTATGAAACTACAGGCATGGTTCACATACCAAAATGCATGCCAGAGAGCCTTATATGCTTGCTAGTGAGGTGGGAAGAGGGCAACCTCAGATTTGACTCTGATCTTCACAGGGTTACACCAGAGAATCACAGAGTGCAAAAGGTGAAACAATCCACTTGCTTAGGTGATATGTAGCTTTTCCTGATCCTAAGACCTAGGAGGACTTTCTCCTGCAAAGACTCATAAATGGGACATTGCTTTTCATGGTACACTGCAATGTCAACAATAGCTTTAATATGGACTGTGTTAGTTAGCTTTTGCTGTGTGACAAAACACCCTGAAACATAGTGCCTTACAATAAGAGCTGTTTATTTAGATGATGATTTTATATGTTGGCAGTTTTAGACTTAGTTGGACAGTTCTTCTGTTGGAGTCACTCCTGTTTTTGCAGTCAGCTAGACCAGCAATTTTCAACCCTTTTCATCTCTGGTACACACATAAGCTAATTACTAAAATACTGTGGCACACCAATCTGACAAAAAGTAGGTATAATTTTGATTGCTTTACAAAATAATAATAATAGTTATTAACTACCCTTTTGCTCCAAAGTGACTTCTTAAAAAATCAGGTGCTTATACTTGTGTATAAAGGTTTCTAGTACCAAGAATTAACCAGTCAGATGCAACCTTATTATGCAACGTGACCAATACTAGTAAGGTGCAACTCTACTATATGACCTGTATATTTATGGTTCAAGACATGGCATTCACACCTGACAGCTATTGTTATGTTGGCTGTTGTCATTTTTTTATTTGACAATCTAAGAGAAAAGAGGTAAGTCCCCTGACTAAATAGTCAGGTATTGCATGTTTTAAAAATTCTTGCAGCACACTGTTTGAAAATTGCTGAGCTAGACTGTGAAATCTTCAGCTAAGCAGCTCAGCTTCTAGGGGTTGGCTAGCTGTCAGCTGGGGCAAGAAGGATGCCTGAGCAATAGGTGCATTTAAAATACCTGCTTGCTCAGTTTTGCTACCAAAGTCAATCACATGATGAACCCCATAGTCAATGTGGGAGAGGACAAAAGAGAATGTGCATACTGGAGGTGTGAATGAATTACAATGATTGATTAACCATAGGGAGTAATTAACATGGCTGATTCTTACAATGTCTTCATTGCAGTCTGTGAGTGGCTTGCCAAAGGATCAATTACTAAGAGCAAGTTAGAAACAAGCAAAAATAAAGTCGTTTAAGCATCTGGTATTCCAGTGGGACAGTTTTATTTTAGTTTAGATTTAGATTGTCTAATGATTTTGTAACATTTTAGCAGCAGATCCCTTTTTCTCCCCATTTGAAGCTATACCGAGCCCTTCCTAAAAAATACATTAAACTGGAGAATTGGGATTGAAGTGGGGTCAGGGGGCCAAGAAGTTGTGCCCTTGGCCTCTATCTTGTGCTCCGTGGCAGCTCTGAGGGCCTCTGCGTAAACCCAAGCCTGAGGACCAGGATGCTTCTAGCAGGAGCTTGGCCTCTAAAACTTTGGTTCTTAGCCCAGAAGAGAGTTTGCCTGACCAGAGGTGCCTTTCAGGATGGAGGGAGTTGCTGAAATAGGAGGTAAGGAATTTCTCAAACTAAGCACATTCCCTGCCTCCTGAGATGCTTGTCATCTACCCTCCCCCTCAGTACCCAAAATACTCTTTCCCCCCACTGTGTGAACAAAGAGAGTCATGAGAAAAGATGGGCTTGTCTTAGGAAGATAAACAACTTCAAAAACACTATTTTAGGGATGATACAGCAGAAATTTTATTTAATTAATGACCATGGAGCATTTTTCTGATTTATTTATTATATTGCTTTATTCTAAAAACAGATTTAAACATTCATTATAGAAATACCAGCCTTCGAAGCACTGGACTTGTGGAAATAAAATACACTCTCAGAGTAACCTGTGTGTGAAAACAAGCCACAGGTGGCAGCCACCAGCCACATTATACCTGTGCCAAAACCTCAGTGTCTCATTCTCTTTTCTCCTGTATTTCTTTTGGATTCTTGACCACACATTTGAAATAGTTGACCAGAGCAATATGAGAGGAAAGAGGAGAACTTGAATCACAGAGCTGTAATAGTTTATTGTTTTAGAGCTTCACTAAAATAAGATTTTGTATTTGTAGATTTTCATTTTCCTTCCTCATTTGGTTGTCTGTAATTAGAGAAGATAGGCATAACTTTCTCTTGGGGATGTGGAGAGTTTGGTGCCTACAGGATGGAGTATTCTAAAATTAGGATCTCTGATTTTCTGGTTTATGAAAATAGCTTTTGGACCAGTGATATAACCTCATTTAGCATTATTCTTATATTGAGAAAGGTTTATTAATATTTTTTGTATTTTGGAATGAGTACTATGAAGATATGTTAATTTTCATCAGACTGTTGGAGATTCTTGAAAAATACTTTGGCACTAGCAATATTTAGATTACTGATACCTGAATAACTTTCTAAATTATAGTAACAGGAAGTGGTACCTAATTTGCAACAAGAGAAACTGCTGATCTTCTATATATATAAAAGCCTAAGCCACCGGCCCACTGGCCCATAGCTATGACATGCACTAACCACCAGGGGGCAGACGCTCAATGCAGGAGCGGAAACAGGCATGGAAACATGGAACAGACTGATGAATCTCAGAGGGAAGGGGGAGAGGGGAGGGGGGAAGAGATTAATCAAAGATCTTATATGCATACTAGAGACCCAGTGCATGGATTCGTGCACCGGTGGGGTCCCTTGGCCTGGCCTGTGGGGATTGGGTTGAAACCAGCTCTCCATCATCCCCTGAGGGGTGCCGAATTGCGAGAGGGCGCAGGCAAGGCCGAGGAACCCCACCAGTGCATGAATCTTTGCACTGGGCCTCTAATTATATATAATTGTAGGTCTGAAATTTGCTGAGCAACGTAGGCTATGAAATGAATAATAATGAATTCAGCCTTTAGATTATTTTTCTTGTCTTATCCTTTATCAGGCTGCGTTCTAGATTCTCAGAAAGGAACCACTGTGGGGAGATCCTTTTCTCTCAGCTGGCGGAGCCACCCAGATGTGACCGAGCCAATGAGATTTAGGAGTGCCACCACATCTGGGGCACCAGGAGTTGAGAAAGCAAGAAATATCGTTCGCCAAAAAGCAACTGGTAAACATTTATTTAAGTATTTCCCAAATAGTTGCTATCTAAAATGGGTTTATAGGAATAAAATGTAAAAGTTGTAAAATTCTACTCAGAAGTTAAAAGCTAGACCTCTTGTTAAATGAGATTTCTCTACCTTTTTAACTTTTGGTTCTGGTTACTTTCAAAACACAATTTCTCATATTTATTTCAAAATCCTTCATTGTGAAAAGGATTTAATATTGAGTGAGATGTTAATTTTGAGTGAGATATTTGTGCAAAAGAAATAAAATAGATTTTTTTTGAACTTTGAGGAAATAGAGTCTTAGTAATCACACAACTAATTGCATTATTGTTGTTGAACATGTGACTCTTGAGAGAGTTTGGTAACTTGGTCCAGCAACAATAATAATGTACTTAGTTTTCAGGACTGGATGGAGACATTTAAAGTTCTTGTGTCTTTGGAAATTTCAGTTTTACATTTCTGTAGATGCTGCGCTTAACAGCCAGTTAGAATGAACAAAAACTTTACCAAGAACCCCAATTAATCAGGCTGCTTTGCTATACTTTACTCTTAAAACAAAAAGAGAAATCTTCAAAAGTAAGCTTATATCTAGTATTTAATGAGAACAAATAAAATCCCCATTCCCCTGTGACTTTGAGTTTGTAACTTAAGTTTAAAACAAATTTATCTGAGTTTCCTGTAGTTTTTCACATCCATACCCCATAATGCCATACAATTGTAATACATGTTGACTGCAGAAAGTTACAATATTCCCCAGTCATAAATCAAAGATTTATTTACACTCAACATAATTTTCAGTGCTTAATAAATAAAGGTTTAATACAGATGACTTATAAACCTGTTGGAGTTTTATGAAAATATACCTTAACTCTAACTGGCTCATACTTTTTTGCTGTAGCATTTGTTGGTAATTATCTCCTTCTTTATATTCACCTCTTATTCAACTCTTTTCTCTTTTCCTTTGTCCTCTCTTGTGTGGAGAGTTCCTTTTCCTGGTAATAGGCAACTTTTAGGGAGGCTTATTCACTGCTTTCTTTTCTCAGCTCACCTCCTTAAACTCTATCACTGGATCTTTAAAAGAAAGGGATAGGAGTAGAAGTTTATGACAAAGGTGGCATCATGCCTGCCTGAGCTGCCCAGAACTCCTGCTGTCCCTCACAACCCTTGAATTCTATGATAAAAATGATCATTCAAAACACTTTTTAAAACTTTAGTCTCACATTTTTATGAGCAGTAAATTATTGAACATTGCATGTTTCATACGTGACTACTTCATCAAAACATAGCCTTAGAAGAGATTGTATCATAGTTTTTTAATAGATATTTTACACCAACAATATGGTAGAGGCAATGGTACATTTTAGAAAATCCTCATCACATTTATGCCAGTGAGGATCTGTTTATTGGTGTGCTCAGGTGTCTGAAAAGCCATGGTATTGCAAAAATAAGAACTTTTACAAAAGCATATAAAGGTATTTGCAGAGTATGTCACTTAAAAACCATAAACCTGGCCCTAACCGGTTTGGCTCAGTGAATAGAGCGTCAGCCTGTGGACTGAGGGGTCCCAGGTTCGATTCTGGTCAAGGGCATGTACCTTGGTTGTGGGCACATCCCCAGTGGGGAGTGTGCAGGAGGCAGCTGATCGATGTTTCTCTCTCATCGATGTTTCTAACTCTCTATCCCTCTCCCTTCCTCTCTGTAAAAAATCAATAAAATATATTAAAAAACAAGACAAAAACAACCATAAACCTGGCCTCTGTGGGGTTAATTAAATTAAAAACACTCAAAACCATAACCTGTAAAAGATAGTGAAGATGAGAACTGTTGAGTTGGATATAGCTATAATCTTTATGTATTTTACACATGAATTTCCTATTTTATGTTACATTTTTTAAAATGAAAAATGAAAAATTATAAAATTGTAAATCTTTTTGTTGCCTCTGAAAGCAGTGGTCTTTGAAGATTTTATTATATCATGCTACTTTATAAAATTAATCTATATTGTCTAAGTATTAGTGGTTTTACGCATTTCTATTATTTTTACATTGTGTAATAATTCATCTTTTTGTGTTTTAAAAAGGCCCAGAATATTTTTAGGGTAGATTTTGACTTGCGTAGAGTCCACCTTTTAATGAGAGAATAGTAAGCAGCTCTTGAGGTTAGTTTTTGCTGCTTTAAGCATTGAGATATTTATGTGGCAGACACACTTGACAGTGATTTTTTCCCAGTCTCAGTAAGAGATTAATTGAAGGTTATTATATTATGATTTTCCCCACAGACTACTATAAGTTTGAGAAAATGTCAGTGACAGTGGCAAGAAAGAACTACAAAATGAGGAATTGCAGAGTAGGGAAGTGGCAGTTTAACAGACATTGCACTAGTTTGCAAGGTAAAAGGACAAAAGACTAGGAGGGAGAACCTTAAAGAATTATACAGTAAAAAAAAAAGAATTCTGAAGTAAAACTTTGTTATTGAGTGTGAATAATGCTAAAATTTTAGATGTTTAAAATGACTGATTAAAGCAAGTCAATTTTCACACAAAATAATTTTTCTATATTTTATTATTTCTGAGATATTTAAGTGATCAGTTTTGGGAAAATGCCAATCATTTGATTTATAAGAGGAAAACGTTTTAAAACAACACTCAAATTTGTGTCTGACATTGAGAGATGAACAGATCTTTTAGGAAATTTCTTATCACTCAATTTGATGTTTACACGGAAGTTGTTTTTACTTAAGTATTATTTTACACATTTGTGAATTAAACTTTAATTGCATTGCAGACAATCCTTTAGAACTGAGAATTCTGATAGCCACGGGATAGGGGGAAAGACAGCAAAGTATAAAGTTTGTCTCACTTTTTGCAAATGTGTCACTATCGTTTGTAGTTCTGTTTCATTAATGTTAAAATCATGTAAAGATAGCAAAACAGCAGGTAAGTCTTTATATTTTGTTTTAGAATAAGCTGATTTTACTGATGGTG